GGGCTACGACACACACACACACACACACACACACACACACACACACACACTGACAAATTGCATCACATGGACCTTATTTTTGCATGTGACCGAATAGGTCAGTGTGTGTAGGGAGTGTCCACATAAATTTGGTTCTTGGTTTTGGCAGTGGTGCAACCTATTTTGTGCATTAGATAGCGCAGGCACTCAGGGCTTTAGATGTACAGTAGGCAAGGCAATGCATACAAAGTCATGGTCGAAATTTGACTTGGTAGTTTAGCATACATCTGGTCATGTTATCCTGATCTAATGAGTGGCTGTGATCCTGATAAAGTCTGTTTAGTTCAGAATATTTAATGGTAGTAGGCAGAGTTTTGGCAAAACCTGAGGTTACTTGTGCTTGTACTTGTTACGGCTGAGATCATGACTGATCTAGCCGGCCTCAAACCTGAGGTTGCCTGATATCGAAGAAATTCTCCTACGAGAGAACCTAACTTTTCACTTTTACGCGTTGTGCTATGGGAAAACACCAATATAAACAAAAAAGTTTAAAATATATGCCTCCCCCCAGAACCGGAATAAATGATGCTTTATAAATCAAAGTATGCCTTCCTCTTAAAATTTGTTTCCTAAACACAGTATAACTGGTGGGTGCGTGGGGTAAACAGTTGGCGCGCTACGAGGGCTTTCGTGTAAAGTTGATAGTTTTGCATGAATTTCCGACCACACTGTACAAACGACAGTTCGAACGTCGCTCTAGACGATGTCCACCATGAGCCTCAGCAAGCAGAAGCAATGCGGTGACTCCCGTGGGATTATAGCGAAAGTAGACTTATGGGGAGTCTACGCCACTCCCTCTCTCACCATTCCTACACCGGGACCCGGTGTCAATAAAAGAGTCGAGAAGACCGGAGATGGGGTAGTGCGCAGGCAGCTGGCGCGACCAATACTCAACACGCATACCAACAGCACACTTCGCTAGGTAGGCCCTCGCTTGCCTGGGAGCGCCATAAAGACCACATTAGGAAGGAGTCATTGCAGCCTGACTCTCAGCCCGCAGGACGACACTCCACACAAGACATACACTGGACTGACTGTGGTCTCCAAGCTATCCCGTCAGTTGGCAACCCTCCAGGCGACACGGTGACTCCTGTGGCATTATAGCGAAAGTAGACTTGCGGGGAATCTACCCCACTCTCTTACCGTTCCTACACCGGGACCTGGTGTCAAGATAAGAGTCGACAAGAACGGAGATGGGGGAGGGCGCAGGCAGCTGGCGCGACCAACACTCATACGAACAACACACCTCACTAGGTAGGTTCGCGCGTGTGCGGGAGCGCCATAAAGGCCGCATCAAGAGAGAGCCATTGCAACTTGACTCTCAGTCCACCAGTCAGCTACTCCACACAACCAAATACACACTGGACTGACTGCGGTGTCGGACTTATCCCGTCAGTTGGCAAACTTCCAAGCCACACGGCTTTTAGCGCATCGTGATGGTTTCAAGCGCATCAGATAGATTTTAGTGAGGAAAAAAATGCGCTGAGGATCAAACCTACTCTCCCCCACCGCCAGCAGTAGGCCACCGCCTAGATAATACTGAGAAACACAGAAAAAAATAGAAGCCGCATAATGGCAAATCGATCGCGTGCTTACCTCATCAGAGGAAAGACTTGAGGAGGCGGAGGGTGGGGGACTTTTTGAGAGGATAGATGGCCGCAAAGGCACGCCATCAGAGCCAGCAGCACCAGCACCGAGGGTCGTCGAGCGGTGAGTCGTCTGATGCGGCGATGCGGTGCATT